GGACCGATGGCATAAATCTCGAGGGGAGTGCGGGAGTCTCGCTCAACGAGCCCCCGCTCTTCCGCATGATCGAGAATGACGCTGACGGGATGCGTCAAGGGAGTGCGTGGGTGCTCAAGGAGGACGGGTTGCGCCCATGCCTTCGGATTATTCTTGTAACCGCCCCCGGGTCTGGCTTGGCCACCTCGGGAGCGATCACTGTGATGGGGCTCTCGGTTGACCGGAGGGGGAGGCCCTCCGGGCCGATTCCTGCCCTCATTCTTCTGAGAAGGATCCGTGTTGCGGCGGTCCTTCTCGATTTCCTCTGCTTCGGCATAACGGTCCCCCCGCTGAAGGGCCTTCGTATAATCGCGGGGGGGATCAGTGATAAGACTCCGAGAGAAGTTACCGTTGCGGAGGACTGTGTGAAAGAGGGCCATCAGGGTCCTGTCATCAGCACCCTCGACCTCGAGGGAGGCCTGCCTCCAGCGTTCTAGGAAACTCCGAAGGGTTTCCTCCTTCTGTTGTCTTACGTTTAGGAGGTGGGAGAAGTGTTTCTTTGAGCGGTGCCTCCCGGCAAACTGCGTAAGGAAGCGGTGGGCAAGTTCTTGCCAAGAATCAATGCTGCCTTCGGGCAACCGGTTGAACCACTCATACGCTGGTCCCTCCAAGGTGGAAAGGAACCAACGGCATAAGTATTCATCCGATGCCCCCATCATCATCATGCTGTTTTGATAACGGCTATAGTGCTCCTGGGGATCCGTCTTCCCCTCATATGGTTTGATAGGTTGCCCCCGATATTTGTGGGGGATTTTGGCCGCCAACACCCTTGGGGTGAAAGGCGTCCTAGTGCGGAGCTGAATGAGGGGGTCGCCTGAGCCTTCGGCAAGTTTACGTTTCATTTCCTCCACCTGTGCCCGGAGGTCAGCGTACTCCGGATCTGGCCTCGCTGTGGAAGCCGTCGGGGGTGCCTGACGATTCTCCTCGAGTTGACGGAGGAGGGCTTCAATGATTTCGTCCTTGGGATCCTTTGGGGCAACCCCTTGGGAGTTGGCCCGGAAGGATTGCGCCTGATTGATCTGGTGCCTGGCGTCATCGGCATGGAGGAGGGCTTTGCCTTTGCTTCGTGGGGGAGGCACGCCCTCGGCGCCCGAAGCAGAGGCTCCACTCTCCTGGGGCCTGCTGAATGCCTGTTTCCCGAGGCGGTCTTGGACCCCTCGGTGCCCGGGAGCTCCCCCAAGCCTCTCAAGTACAGAGGTTCGGGGTTTCTCTTTCATCATGGGGCGCTTGTCCCTGGATTGGGCCTCTTGGGAGGCGGTATCCTGCGCCATGACCCCCTCGGCGTTTCCAATCCCCGGGGGAGGATTGTTGAACAGAGGGGGGAGCGGTGGCAATTGAATAACATTTCCTCCAGCGTAGGGCTGGAGGGGTGTCTGAGAGGCGAGGGCTCCGGAATTGAGAGCCATGTTTTGAACAAAGGCCGCAAAGGCAGCCTGAAGATCGATGGCCGGGGCCGGAGGGGGAACTTGGTTCTCACTCCGATCCCTCCTTCGATTATCAAGGCCAATGCGGGCATCAGGGGCGTTCTTTTGTAGTTGCTGACGGAGGTCAGCAGTAGCCTGCTCCAACTCGAGGATGATACCACCCTCGGGTACCAAGAGCCTGTTGGAGGCCTCAGCCCCAATGGTTTCGCCGGGGGCTATGTGGTTCTCCTCAAGGGTTTTGGACTGGGCACGGGTGGTTCTTCCCATTTTTGGTAAGTGTCTTGTGTTTGGTAGAGGGGGAGGGTTTCTTACTTGATTGTTCTGACCTCTCAACGAGAGCACCAAATGATGGATTGTCTACCCGGGGGGTATCTTATCCGAGGGGTTATTACGGGAATAACTTAGAGAGAAGTCAGAGCAAATAGGAGGAGAGAGAGTCGATTTTATTAAATGAACTCGAGATGTGGAGTTGAGATGCAGATCATGATCTCGATTACAAGGAGAAATGGGCTGCTATTTATAGCAGCAATAAATGCGATGAGAGGACACGTGTCAGTAATCCAACGGCCGAAGGGTCACATCAGCCTGGTGGCACCGGCAGTGGTACGTCAACCGCATTGAATGCGGTTGGTGGATGCGACGTGGCATTAAATGCGGTGGTTGGCTGTCTCTAAAAGGAATCTTCGATGATTGAGCTTGTTCAGCCGAAGGCTCCTTGCGTAGCCGAGGGCTTCTTGTGTAGCCGAAGGCTTCTTGTGTAGCCGAGGGCTCCTTGTGTAGCCGAGGGCTTCCCCTGGCGCCGAGGGCATGAGAATGCCGAAGGCTCATGTCTTTGCCCATTTTCTTCCAGTAGCTTCTTATGCCAGAGAAGGCTATCCTGTGAGTTTTGGAGCTTTCGGCCAAGGAGGCCGAAGGCACCCCAGTGTGTATTCTGGGCTGCTTTGAGGCTTGGGCCGCGGTATTTGGGCCTGAGTTGTTTCCTGAGCTCAATGGACTTGTGTAGGAGAAGTGGGAGTCTACGGGCCGGGGGTTCCTGGGCCATATACTCCATCATATGTTTCACTAGAGTATAAAGTAAACAATGAAGAAATGAAAGACGAGTATTAAAAGTTTGATAGAACAGTAAAAGAGACAAATTAATATGTTTGTGCCATAAATGCAATTACCATAACAATCAAAGGACTTAAACATGAAAAGAACACTTGAATAATCCCTTGCTTGCTTTAAATTGATTCACTTTTCCTTGAGTGTTATTCTTACACGCTCCACTTTTGATGTTTTGTCTAAAACATTTAAGTAATACGGAGTACTTTTACTTTTTCAATTGATCTTCACAACTTTTCCTAATTTTCATCTTCTTTCTTATAATTTGACTATCAGCTACTAGTCTAGTACGCAAAATAACAGTACAATTTTGAATTAGAAAATTACTAAGAACCTAATTACAATCAAGATTAACCACGTCTTTCAATAGAGCTCGTTTGTGAAGAAACCTCAAATTAGAAAAATTCACAAATACAAATATTTGTGAAAATTACAAATAAAACCAAAATTAATATAGTTTAGTAATACGAGATTCAACTTTCCCAATTTTCCAATGATAATAACAGTACAATTCCATAAAAGTCATGCTTTCAAGCCATAGTACATCAAAATAATTAATTTATCCAAAATTCAAAATTCATATTCCAATACCATTAATCTCATAATAGCTGAAGTATCCATAAAATTTCATAAGTAATACAAACTCATATCACAAACCCTAATTAAATCATATTTACGGCAAAACATACATTTTGGTTGATATAGCTTAGAAACTTTCCTCAAAAGCTAGCATAGATTCTAAACGTGAATGAACACAAAATGATCTGATATTACTGTGATAATCACTACTATTGAGTTAATGGCTTGACCGGGGGCCGGCCCATTACCCCTTAACGAAGAGCATCAAGGCCCAGCAAGAAAGGAGCCCAAGACGCTCGTCCTCGGGCCCCACAGCCCACAAGGGCAGTTAACCATGGTAGGCCAATGTTTGATACGCCGTTCGGCTCGTCCCGATAAGACGATCGACCTCTATGACCTTAGCCCCATAATGCACCAGATGGCGGTCTAGTGACCACGCAGATGATACACAGAAGACGTTCCACAGCTTCTACCTCTTGTTCCATTCCAGCAGAAGGTCCAAAATCATGAAGACACTCGTCCGCAGAGATGGGCGGGGAACCTAGATATCGGCGAGAGACGCATTTAATGCTGAAGATTTGACTATCAGCTAGTAGTCTAGTACACAAAATCAAGTAAAATAAGAAAATGTTTGCGAAAACTTAAAAGTAGTTTTCAAGTTTATGCTTTAAAATTCCGAGACTCCTGATTTTTCAAATGATAATTTTTACTTGAATTAAGCACTTAAAATTTAAAATTTGTAATTTAACTTGTTTTTTACTTTTCCTTTTACACAAAAACACTTTTTATGAAACGTTGTCAACTTTAACTTTGTCAAAAAATCGTTTTTTTCACAAACATTATCTATTTTTACTATTAAATTAAAGCACTCGATCTAAAATCACTTTTTATTTAAAAGTTGACTTTAATTAAAAGTAGATACAACCGCGAACACTCTCATAGTATAAGTAAGTGAATGAATTGAAGTATTACATTATACTTTGTATATCAATTAAATACATTTAAAGACTAATTAAATTTAATTTGATTGTATAACACTAAAATCATCCAAATTATTTCATAAATTATAGTAAAGCATGAGTCTATACACAAATAAGAGCATCCATTTTTGGCTTACTATAATAACATAACTTAAATAACTTTAAATTAATATTGTTATACTTGAATTCAATTAGTAAATGTGAAGTTAGTTTTCTAGCTAAATTGGTTGAATTTTCTATAATGGATTGTTTTAGCTATTTTCATATAAAAATTTCCTTATTTTATTGATAAAATATACTACATACCTCCGTCTCTTAAAATTTTGTCATCTTTAACTTTTTAAGTCAATGACCCTCAAGTTTGGACCATGATTTTCATAAGTATATATACATTACGAAAGTTATAAATTTTATATTTACTTTTATGAAAGTATATAGTTTTAACAAAAACATTTTCATATCATTTTCATATTATATTGGTCAAAATTGAACACAATTAACCAAAATTTCAAAGATGATTAAGTTTTAAGGGATGATGAGAGTTTTTATAGTTTAGCAGATTCAACCTATTAACCGCTTAGATCATACTTTCATCAATTTGAGCAGATTCAACATTATTATTAAATGACACCACATTAGTATGTAGCTAGGAGCAGGTGCATGTAACACATTATCTCCTCTTGTGGATGAACATTTAAAAATATTAAATACGCATCATATATATCTAAAATTTGTTTGGTATATATGTCGGTTGATATAGAGAGGTAAGCTAAGGTAGCTTATTGTGAGTACAATAATTTAGCACTAGCATTTGCCTAATCATTGTTGTAGCCCTAAAAATCCGTATTTAGTGAGTGATAAGCTCTTTTGTTTTGTACCATTTGCACAATTGATCGACCCACCGACCCCAACTCTTACATTCTCCACTAATCATTATCATCATCTCCCTCTTCTTCAATGCATGATCTAGCTAGCTAGCTAGGGTTTTTCTGTCACAAAATTGGTTTCTCGCGATCATTTTGCAGGATATTTAAAGGGTTTCCAGCTTATTTAATAAGGTGTACGTAACGAACTCCCAAGCAAGAACGACATATATATGTGACAGACGATCGAGGTGAAGTGAGACATAGGTACGTATGTAGCTAGCTTAAATTACCTTGAAAAATCGAACCCCACGTACGTACACTAGCTAACAATAATATAGTCAAGAATCAAACCAGAAAGGTATAAGTCTACTACCTGTAATTAAGTGCTAGCTAGCTAGGTGCACTTTTAGTGGGTATGTGTGTAAAATCCTCATATGAATAAGCATGGATGGAAACCCCTTAATCATTATTTCTATTTTCTAACATATTGAATGATCGATCATCGAAGTATAATATAGTCCATCAAGTTTTAATGCATCAGAACTGATTATTCTATGTTAATGATTTTTTTACTTTATTCCGGCCTTATATAATACTCGTATAAAATAAAAAGATCATTTAGAATCGATCAATCCTTTCGTACAAGATTAAAACTTATGTTTAGGTATATATGTCATATATCAATCTTGTGAGAGATTTTAAGATACATCAGTATATAACTGGTTTTTGGGAAATTCCCAAAATAAGTGAACATGTTTTGGAATTCCAAAATAGGGTTGCTATGTTTTTCCCCGAAATAAGAGTTTCATTACCGTCAAAATCATTGCAATATACGAAGTATACTAGCTAGGCATTAACAATATAACCAGGGGTGGAGCTAGAGGGGTGGCCAACCAGGCCACTGCCCTCCCCAAATTTGAAAATTCTTTGTATTTTTAGTCTAAAAATTTATGTGAAAAAAATTATCTGAAAAATTCTTTGTACCGGTTCTGCCCAACCTTCAATCCTAACTATGCCCCTGAATATAACAGGCCAATATCTGTCAATCATGATCGGCAATAATGACTCGTATTTCGTGATGAAAGCATAATAGAATTCTAAAACTTATTTACTCTAATCCTATTTAAAGCAATTTCCTTAATTTTTTTTATAATCCTTGAATGATCACACTTAGTATGAAAGTTGATCTTCACCGATTTCGATTATTATTCGGGTAGAGTTTATATACTTGATTGGGGGGTTTGGAAGGAAGAAAATAAAACGAGAGCACGTATAAGAATAGTGTTAAGAAGCCATGACACACCCAAAAACTTAGCATTTAAGGAGTTTTTTCTATCACTTTAAAATTTGTTTCTTTCTTTTTATGCTTTAAAAGGTTAAAAATAAACAAGTAATGTTTCAAACAATAGGGAGCTCAACTAAATAGATTTTTTAGATGAAAAATAAGGATGGATTATGGTGAATGATCTAATAAAACCGGGATGAGATGAGATTTTAAAGTAAAAATTGAAAAACATATATTTGAATTGCGTAGATATTCTAAAGTCACATGTGTAAAAACTGCACCATTGTCTGCAAATACAACATTATTATGGGTCAAAGGTGCATCAGACCGCAAACAAAATGTATAAGAATTAAAATTGTGTACCGATTTAGTTCACTCATTTTGAAACTCTAGATTCATTAATACGTATTTTTCATGGGAGGAGTGATTTTGTTATAGTCTCACAAATATAAGATCTAGCCTACTTATTAAGATCTATACTACGTATTAAGATCTATACTATTCTTTCTATCAGATTGATCTTTTAGAATGAAATACCCATAACAATTTTCTATAACAATTTTCACTTTATGAAAAGACAAAATTAACAATAAAATGGGGTGCAAATTACCCCTTAAAAATAACCCCCTTAATTTTGGGAGAGATATTTAGCTATAAATACCCCACACTTCCCCGTTGGCCGGGTTGCAAATCATAAATTACATAGATAATTAAGCTTCCAACTTAAGCAGTAATTGGAAAGATCTAGCCTACTTATTAAGATCTATACTACGTATTAAGATCTATACTATTCTTTCTATCAGGTTGATCTTTTAGAATGAAATACCCATAACAACTTAGTGGGACGGACGAAAAAGGTAAAACGGGACAAACTTAAGGGAACGGAGGGAATATTTTTCATGGGAGGAGTGATTTTTGTTATAGTCTCACAAATATAAGATCTAGCTTACTTATTAAGATCTATACTATGTATTAAGATCTATACTATTCTTTCTATCTTAGAATGAAATACCCATAACAATTTCCTATAACAATTTTCACTTTAATCCATCCACATATATACCCATACTCCGTATATGCTTGTTTTGCGGAGGTGTGCATGAGGAATGTCGGGTATCAACCCATACAAAGGCTTAGATCCCGGAAGTAAGTCCACATGCTCGAACCCTACATCCTTTGCCGGTATGACCCCAACCTACTTTGCCTCCTTACACGTACATAATACGTCGACGTACGTAAATAATAACCAGAAGCTAAGGCGGGTTAATGATGTAGGATGTATATGATGGTATAATTCATTTTTAAACATTGACTTTTTTGTATTCATATTTAGGGATGTTTCTGTTAATTCTTTCTCATTTTATAGAAAATACTGTTCACTTTTGGACTTCACTAATTAATTACGTACGTAGTATTTCTCATTTTTCTTACATTGAAAATGTTTTTTTTCACTTTGGCTTTAATTTCATCTATTACGTACTGTATTTCGCGTTTTTATATCCATATTAATTACGTCCATTTTCTTCCCTTTTAAAGGTTTCAATGGTTAAACAAAAGTATACTCTTTATTTTCTTAAATCTCATGACATACCTATACATATATGATATATACCTACTTGTACATGCATCTATAAATGTGACTATGTGAGAGTATCTTAATGAAATTTGAGTTCTATTAATTACTTAGCTTCTATATGTTGGAAGAAATTACACTTTTGGTCCTCCGAGTTTTGCACCAATTCCACAATTAGTCCACGTCTTTCACTTTATCTATTTTTGGTACCTGACTATTGTTTTCTTGACCATATATAGTCCTTTTCCGGTAGTAAAAATGCCCAGAGATAGACCGAAAATGGTCAAAAAAACAATAGTCAGGTACCAAAAATAGATAAAGTGAAAGACGAGTATTAAATATGGAAACAACATAAAACTCGGAGGACCTAAAGTGGAATTAATTCCTATATGTTGACTTGAGAGTATAGCACTCCATATATATGACTCCATATACTGTCGTATATGACTTCACCTTTTGGTCGGTTGGGCGCCATAATGAAGTGATCAATGATGTACTTATTTTTTACTCCGTAATTGTTTGAATTGTTTTGGGTAAAAGGAATAAACACTATTTCTAACTATATATATTGGATACTATTATTGCATTTGGATACCTTTAAGTATAAAATGAAATAAATCAGTACTATATATGTACACAAACGTTTCTACGGGTAATATTGTTCCAATTTTCGGCTAAAAATCCTATTCAAAGGGTGAAATTTCATACGATAGTACATAGAATTTCATTCGATACCCTACATAGAATTTTTTGGATGGAAATTTGAATAGCATTATTCGGTGAAACATTCATTTAAATTAGATATAATGAACAAGAATAATCCCAACTATTATTGATCTGCTTGAAATAATTTAAATTAAAGTATTGGTTATTCCAAAATAATCTCAACTATTGAAAAATCTTCTCAAAATACTCCAATGACTTATAATTATCCTTAATTAAACTTATATGCTCCGTAATACTTATGAGTGATCGAGTGAAGTATTTTGAAAAAAAAAAATCAACATTGGAATTATTTTGAAATAAACATACTTCCAATTATTTTAAGTAGATCACTGTTCCTTTATATTAAAAGTATCAAATTTAAATTAAAGAGTATACTAGAGATAAGCTGATTCAAGGAGATGTATATATGTGGTGCTAGGACATGTGTTCAAGATCAGGAGGAGGAGGTTGGAGCGGCGGCGGCGGCGGCCCTGATTCAAAGGCGCCATGTGCAGCATGCAAGCAGCTGAGGAGGAAATGCACGGCGGAGTGCAATTTCGCGCCATACTTCCCGCCGGAGGAGCCTCAGAAGTTCGCCAATGTGCACAGGATCTTCGGGGCTAGCAACGTGAGCAAGCTGTTGAGCCACATCCCAGCCCACCAGAGGCAGGACGCCGTCAACTGCCTTGCCTACGAAGCCGACGCTCGGGCCCGAGACCCCGTCCACGGCTGCGTCGGCGCCATCTCCCTCCTCCACGCCCAGCTCCTTCACCTCCAGAAGGAGCTCGACGACGCCAACGCCGACTTGATGCGATACACAACCGCCGCCGCCGGTTTTGATCATCAAGAAAGTGCTACCCACGTTGTTGCTCATGACATCGTCAATAACCATCAACCATATGGAGGGATGCCGCCTTTATTTACGCCCGCCGCCGATCAATCACCATCATTTGACCACTCCGAGGTTGAAGACGCTGCTGATATCTAGCTAGCAGCATTGATCGATATAATATGAGACTCAAACGGCAGCGGATCAACCTAATTTAAAGATGCATATCATAATAATCATATATAGATTGAATGTTTAATTTTTTTGATATACAACAAGATATGGAGTAATAATTAAGGAGTATTCCTTAAATAGAAGTAAAATACTACTCCTTCCGTCTCATTTTACTTTGACCGATTATATGTTTATATAGAGAAAATATTTATAATATGAAAATGATATGAAAATGTTCTTTGTTAAAAATACTATCACAAAAATATAAAATTATTATTTTTTGCATAAATATATTAGTTAAAATAATTGTTCAAAGTTTACCATCTTTGACTGGAAAAGTCAAAGATGGCTAAGTAAATTGGGACGGAGGTAGTATAAAAAATAAAAATATACATCCCTAAATAAAAGACCATTTAGGATGTTTTGTTTTGGAGTGAGACTTACTCATATGGTTTAGTCTAATCTGGTTTGGTCTGTTTCAATTATCGGGTCTGAATTGGTCTGACAAATATAATGTGACGTGCACTTTGTCGTGAGTGCACTCAAAATAAATTCAATACTAACACTTACACGTAGTATAGGTGAAGTAGAGTTCGTATCCACAGGGAAAGGAATAATTCTCTTTTTATGTAACTAGTAAATAAAGGGGGGTTTTGATTGAGAGATTTAATTTAAATTTAAACACGAAGATGAACGAGTTATATGTGATTTAATTCAAAGATAAAAAGGACTTGGCATTGCTACTTTCCACTTGTTGATATATTTTAGTCGATCATTGTTATATCTATAACTTATCCCCTCTCAAATACTCAATCGAGGAGTATATCCAATTCATCGAGAGTAGTTATTAACAACGACCGTTCATTAATAACCCTTACTATTAGTCAAGTATAGAACACCGCCATATACCGACTTAATAGTAGCATTTAATCTCTTAACTCCTTGATGAAATCAATTGAGATTGATAACCTCAACACAACGGTTTCGGTTTAACCAACAAAATTAATCCCTCTTAAGTTTATTAACCACGACCGTGCATTAATAAACCAAAGTTACTTACTTGTGAAACCATCAACGATTAACCATCGGTTCGTTGATCGTTTCTAGTAGTAATTAATGTCGAGATGTTAACTAATTGTCATCTTAGCAACACTCCCCAACATTAATATAGAGATAGATTAAGAGAAGAATTAATATTCAAGAAAGAAGATTAATATTCAGTCAATTCAATTGCCTATATCAAATTAGTATTGTGAGCAAGATTTAAGAATGGTTTATTAAACAATTGGACACCAAACTCAATTAACTCTTATACACTTCCTCGAAAAGAATTACAAAGACATTTTTCTGGTCAACATAGTTTCACTTTATTTATTAGTTGTTCACCACAACAATTTATTTTGTAGAACTTTCAATGTAATTAATTGTCCACAGAGTTGATTTAACTTTACCAAGTCATTTTTAAATCCAAAAATTGCAAATCAATTCATGAGGGAGTATAGGTAAAGTTTAGAGATAATTCCTTCATGAATAGAAGTAAAACATGTGACAGTATCAGAGTTGTTGTGTGCCTCAAAATCAAATCGATTAATACTCGCACTAATACCGCGCGTAGTATATCGTAGTAAGATTAGTATCTACAGGAAAATGTATTTCTTATTTGAAAATTATAACAAAGGGTGGGATTTAAGTTTGTTTCAATTCATAATATTTAAATGCTAAGATGAGTGACTTATGTGATTTAAATCAATGAGATAAAATATTTGGTTTTGTTACGTTTCATTTGTTGAGATGTTTGTTGATCTCGATTGTATCTTTAACTTGTCCCCTCTCGAATACTCAATTATATCGTGGAGTATTTCCAATTCATCCGGAGAAGTTATTAATAACGAGACCGTTCATTAACAACTCTTACTATTAGTCAAGTATAGAACATCATCATATACCGACTTGATAGTAGCATTTAATCTCTGAACTTCTTGATGAAATCAATTGAGATTGATAACCTCAACACAAAAATTTCAGTTTAATCAACACAATTATTAATCCCTCTTAAGATTGGTAACCATGAGACCACGCACTAATAACCCGGAGTTACTTACACGTGAAACCATCAATGATTAATATCATCATTTCATTGATCATTTCTAGAAGAGAATTTCTAGAAATAATTAATGTCAAAGCATTAACTAATCGTCACTTAGCAACACACTAACAATAATATAGAAATAGGCTCAAGGGAATAATTAATATTCAAAAAATAAATTTAAAAAAAAAATAAATCCCAACTTTAATTTAACATTCAACAAAGTGACAAACCACAAAAGAAAATTAAAACCATGCTAGAAAATACAAAGAAAATAACTATTCTAAACTGAGTTTAAGTATATATAAGATTGGGTGTCAAAATGGGAAGGAAAAGGAGTGTATTTATAGGTGTTTGGTGGCGGCAGCGTCGGATACTCATCCGCATATCCTCGGCAATAGCCTGGAAGCTTCATAAATCACATCATACCTGACCAGCAGTGGCGGATCTGTGATTTGAGCTTTGGGTGTTCATTTTTTTCTATAATTAAAATTTGAAAAGACAATAAATAATTAAACTAAATTTACACATGTATATTAGCATATTTTTCAAAATTCTAGGTGTTCATGTGAACACCTTTGAAGTAAGGTAGCTCCGCCACTGCTGACCAGGTATGTCGGTCTACCCGATCGGGTATATATAATAGCAAATCTTGATAAAAATATCATTGCATGTTCAATTTTTTTCGGATCTGATTTAATTCTCGAGTCAAGCTAGTCCATACACGATCGGGTATATGCTTTACCTGACCAGGTATATGCATAAATCATGATTTTTTTTTCTTTTGCCTTGTCCTCCCTCTTGCACCTTACTTGCTCCTTTATTCGTTTTTGCTTGGAATAGTCTAATCTAAAAAAAAATACAAGTACCTAGGAAAATAAATGATTGCAACATAAATGTGCAATTACTTCAACAACACACAATAAAAATTAGTTAAAAGTACAAACATACATGACAAGAAATTAAATATTTGTACACTATTAACATGTTAAGTGTAAAAATAGGTTTTGATGTCTAAAATCGCCTAAATAAGAGTCCTTTTGTGCAGGGGTGGGGACAGGGAGGGGTTGGAGGTGGCCACGGCCCCTGCAAGAAAAAAATCTTAAGTATATATGTTATGTATAAATACTTTTGATCTGTAGAAAGTATGTTGATATTTTAAACTTTGGCCCCTTCAATATAAAATTCTTAAGGACCGGCCCCTTTAACCATAAATGTCTGGCTCCGCCACTGCTTTTGTGCTTGGGCTAAAATGCCCCTGAGAAGAGTCTGCCACCACATTGCCACTGCCGGATCGCCGGCAAACGGAACTTAATATACCGCCAATGTTGAATCTCCGCAGCTACCACAAACACCAATGAACTGCCACGGTTTGCAAATGTTGAATCTCCGCACCTACCACAAACACCGGTGTTATATATAGTGTACAAATAATGAACTGCCAGGGTTATGCAAACGTACTAGAAAGGTAATATTTAATCTTGTTTAGGAAAGATAAAAATGGATTCTTGTTTAGAAAATAGATCACATGCTTTACTACTATTTGGGGCAATTATTTTTATTGCCAAATTATTTTGCCAAGTTAACATTTTTCTGTGGGAAAACTGTCAAATAGGTCCCCAAACTTTCATAAAAAGGTCAAATTATATAAGTACTTAGTTGACTTTTTATGAAAGTTCGGGAACATATTTGACAGTTTTCCCTTTTTCTGTGAACCAATGTTGAAGTTAAATCCTCCCTATTGATAATTAATTCAATTTTAATAATTAAAATTTACATATATTCAGAAAGTACATTAAAATCTCTATAAAGTTGCAAAATCCAAATTAAAATTAAAAAGGAATTGATATTATAATTAAGTGAAAACATGAGTTTGTTTGACCCTAAAAGTCAATTTTGCAACTCAATTTGGGGCGGAGGGAATATGATATTACGGAATATTTCAAATATGAAAATTATATTGAAATCTTTATTCATAGTTCCATAAAAGTATGGAAGTTACTCCCTCTATCCCACACACAATATTCTTCCTGCTTACCATATTAGATTGTCCCCAAAAAAATCCTCTCAATTTCCATTTTAAAACATTTTGAATGGTTAACATTCATTTACTTAACCACAATTGAACTATACATTTTTTCCCACGTTTATTGTAATTTTCTTAAATTCCAACTCAAATCAAATTGGGAAGAACTCGATGAGACTGAGAATCGAATCTAGTACTCCTTTCGTCCTGCAAAATAGTTCCTCATTTTCTTTTTGAAAAGTTTTGTGTGCCTCACATTCATTTATCTTTTTCTTACTCAATCACAATAATACATTTCCACTTTATTCTCACTTTTTAAACTCCGATCCAAATCAATGTGACAACTATTTTATGGGACGGAGGGAGTATATGTTTAATTTTGCACAAAATCATTTGTATTGAAGTTTATATGCATTGATTAAAAAAAAGTCAAAATAATCAAATTTTATGTGATGGGAATGTCGAAAATGGAATAATTAAAGCGGGTGCAAAGTGGCGAAGAAGAATGTAGCTACTTGTTATGCATGCAAAAGGGGTTGGACTCATGTCACACATGCAATCCAACACGTTGCACCCCAAACTCCCTATTAATTATATCTCCTCCCCGCCCACTTCTGAAGTACGGAGTAATAATTTTCATCACCAACACTACCTAGCTAAACGCCCAAACAGAGTGGTTTATAATTTCATTTCATATCGCGCGTTAATTCCATGGCCACCAACCGTCAAACGCACCAACTCCAAGTTCACCCCATCGGCGGGTACGACACCGGAATCATGAAGGGCTCTCATCAGCAGCATAACATGGGGGGTCCCACCGCCACCCAAGTTCTAACCATCGTCACCCTCCTCCCGGTGGTCGGCACCCTCCTAGGCCTCGCCGGCCTTACCCTCGCCGGGACCCTGATCGGCCTCATGATCGCCACCCCTCTGTTTCTGCTCTTCAGCCCCGTCATCGTGCCGGCGTCCATCGCGATCGGCCTGGCGGTGGCCGGGTTTCTCGCGTCGGGGGCCCTGGGGCTGTCGGGGCTGTCGTCCCTGTCGTGGCTTCTGGAGTACTTCAGGCAGGGGAGGTCGGTGCCGGAGCAGATGGATTACGCGAAGAGGAGGGTGCAGGATGCGGTGGTGACCCTGGGTCAGAAGACCAAGGACGTCGGTCAAACTATTCAGAACACCGCTCAGGATACCGGCAAAGATCAGGGCACAACCAGGACGACGGCCTGAATTGATCCCTCGATGGAGGGCCGGAATAATGGAATGAACTGGCGGCGGCGGCACCCATGCAATTGAGCTGGCGGGAATAATAATAAAATATTAATAATAACAATAATAATAATAATGTAAAATAGTCATAAAAAATTTCTTAGTATTCGATATTTTTGTGAAGTGGTTGTGTTCGTGAGTAGTTAGTTGACATTTGTTTAATTTGTTTTTTCCGATGATCGAGTATGCATAATGTGCGTCCTGTACTCCCGCTGTGCTTAATTCGTGTATTATTATACTTCGTATTATATATTTAGTACTTCAATTCAAAAGTTTTTGCTACATATCTGTAATTAGGTCTTTATAATGTGTTGAATTTTACAATAAACATGAAACTCAACAATTGGTGATGTGTTCAATTCTTAGAGGGAGAACGGTGACGGAGAAGTTAAAATGGATATGCAAGTTCATATTCTCGTAATAATGTCTGGTTTTGTTGAATCCATTGTCAACGTTAACAACATTATCTGTATTTTTTTACGTCACATTCATGTTAATGCATAACCGTTCAAACGATAAGGCCTATTTCAATTCAAATTCAACGTGTTCTTCAATCTTAGACAATGAGCTCCTTCACGAAATTGAGGTTTTTAGTAGCATAAAAGTTCTGGAGTGTCATGTCATGAACTGAAGTTAAAAGTTGGTATCTACTTTGAATGTATTAATTGATACACAAGAGTATAATGTAATACTTCATTAACTTACTTATATTTTAGATCAAATGCCTTACTAGTAAAATTTGATCATGTTTGTGGAAAAATGATTTTTTGAAAAAGTAAAAGTTGATTGGGTGGATCCGGTCTTTTAGTACCAGTCTTTTCATTTTTAGTACCAGTCTTTTCATTTCTTCATTGTTTATTTTTTACTCTAGCGAGACATATGTCCTCAATCACTGTGAGGACCAAAGAGATTTGGAATTGGCACTTTTAAAATAGCTCGAGGACAATATATAGCCAAAGGACTAGTAGATGAAAAAACTTTAAAACGGATAAAAATGTATATGTCAAACAATTAAAAGATAAATAGCAGAAAATTCAAGCTAAGAAGAATATAAACAATATGTCATTGTTATTGCCAAAATGCCAATAACCGAGACGACTAGAAGTCGGGGAAACTAGACTATTACCGATATTACCTCCATCTCGCACAGATATTCTCGGTTTGATTTACGATAGTTAATAATAATGTAGTGAATTTTTTCCTCATTACAATTCGATGTTTACATATTTGTAAAATAACCAATATTTCTAGTGAATAGCAAAACTGTTCTGATATCATGTATCGGTGTATATTAGATGATCTGAAATCTCTTAGGACTAAGGCTAGCACTAAGGCTTGAATATTAGATGATCTGAAATCTCTTAGGACTAAGGCTAGCACTAAGGCTTGAATGTTATTGTGTTGTCATAACAAAATTTGGATATCAGTAACATAAAAACTACAGAGTATTATTTTAAATTGGTCATAAAAAGAGAGTCAATTTGAGTGCAGAAACAGAGGATCTACGTATGGCCTATGGTAGGCTGAAGCCAAGGCAACTTGGAATTTTTTCAATTTTTTAGTGTAATTTTTTTCACTTTTAACATTTAGCCCACCCCGCCGCTAATATTTAAGCCTAGTATAATTCCTATTCAACCCAGGGCATCTCATATTTCTAGATCCGCCCTGGAAACAGTGTTTGGAAACCATGAAATGGGACTAAGTAAGGGTTGTTTACTCATTTGTAAAAATAAAATCAGATTATAACGGTTAAGTTTCAACCAGTTCCTCGGATCCAAAATCCCATCGTTAATTTACAACAATGTATTACCCCGTATTTTTTCTTTTTTCTTTTCTTTTTACTCCGGACTACTTATATATAGTATACTATCGTACAAGATTTTCAGATACACTAATAATTAACAATATACACACCACGTTAAGATATTAAACACTCCTTATATTGTGGTATGCTTGCTGAGTTGCTCCATGCTAAATTGCTAATGATACTAATTTTGTTCTTCAAGTGGCGTTCAACGTGGTACCTTCTAATCTGTGGTAACCACTTTGTCTGGAAACTCCAAGCGCAGACTGTACAAGCACACACACATACAAATGAAGATGGCTCTTGTTTCATAGATATAGTGTGTGTGTGTGTGTGTATTGTATGTAGCTATCTATAAGTTACCGTGTTGTTGAGCAGTCTTAGAGCGGCAGGTCGAGTAAATTTTCTTGCAAATAGAAAGCACGAGGCTGGTTTCCCTTTGCTGGAGCACCACTCTCTCCGGTACTCTGTCTCATAATATACATTGTCTATATCCTGTTCAATCCATCCATCAAAATACACTTTCAACTAAAACACGTGTATTGCTGTAATGAGTAAGCATCAATTATTGCTCATTGCACAAAGCTCCTCCCTTCTCTTAGGCACAAAGTTGCCTCCTCATTCAATTCATACAGCACATGACTCCATACCGTTTTTTTTAAAACACATGACTCCCTACTGTTTTTGCATTAATTTATACATTTTGTCTTGAATAGTTGGATTGAGTTACTTTTGCATTGTTTTTCTTTGTTCTCATGAAAAGGTGATGTGCCACAATTAAAAATAGGTAGTGTTGATGAGTCATTATCATTGTGGTGAGTGTTCTAACATATTGCGTAGTAGTATACACTATACATTATAGTATTAGGACTCTAGTTTTCAGGGAAAAACTATTACTACTTTAATATGCAGGCACAAACCCCAAAAACACTTAATCAGTAACACGGGGAGTACCCCTTGAGTGTCAGAGTAAACGGCACGATAAACTCCTGTGCAAAATACGTAGTAGATAACTAGGTAGGATATGGAATTATTCTTCCCTACCCATACCTTTTGTCATGCAAATTCAAAAGCTGCTTATAGAACAGCAGTTCAAAAGGGGATTGAAATTGTAACAGCAGTTAAACTTTTTGATGGATGAAATTGATAAATGTAGAAGTTTCTGTTTTTCTTTTATCTCTTTTTTTTTAAGAAAATGTCAGCCTTGTCAGGATGACACTACGGCGCTTCCAAGTGTTTTTGAAATTACCTTGATAGATTTAATGAGCATGGGGGTAGCATCACCTAACTTGTAAGTGACAGGATGCCATCCTTGCCGTTCACGCCGCTTGGAAGATGGAAGATCCCATGATGTGTGAGTCAAGGTTCTTCGGATTATTTCTCCTCCTTGTCCCTTTTGCTGCATTAAATACCCAATGTCTCTTGATAATAAAAAAATACGCATAACTACGTAGCACATCTGAAAGGATTAATTTTTCTTGACTGTAAGCATTTAACTTTTGAAACAACTTACTGCAAGCAACGTTGGAATATAATGTTCATCCGGTATACAATTATGAATCTTTGATGTATCTGCAGGCTGCAATGGGAAGTCATTTTTAATCAGACTCATGACAAGATGACTTCAACAAAATAGTTACTCATTTCAAGAATTCTCAGAAAATGTAGAAGTCATGACATAAGAATACAGCTTGTAAATATATAAAAAAGAAAAGTAAAATACTTATAGAATGGTGAGAACTCTCACCACGGGATGCTCCCTCCAAAACTCTGGTAGCGGCTTTTTCTGCGAAATTGTTTGCAGGTAAATGTCATGGTTTAAAAAAAACATGGGACAATGTGTGCATGGAACTGCAAAACTTAAGGAGAAAAGAAGTATTTGCATGTATAAGGTTCCGTTTGGAGCTGTCAAAATGCTACGGCAAGAAAATAAAGAGGAATATGGAGGGTGGAAGGAAAGAAAATGTGAGTGGGGATAAAACATTTGTTTAAACTCAATAAAATTGGGAAATATTTGTCTAAGCTCAATTTATTTACCTTTTCCTATTTTAGAAATATAAGAAACCTATGTAAAAAGTTTAGTAACACATGCCATATTTCATTTTCTTTAGCATTTTCAGTGGTACAAACACAACAAAATAACTTTACACGCCATTTTTTTCCACTCCCTAGCATTTTCAGTTATTCAAAAAAAAACTAATCAACAAAAGACTGGGCAAAGAATTCTTATGCAAACCTGAAACCAGAACTGCATGACATATCTGGTTTATACATAACATGCTTTCACAAGTTTAGTAGTTCTAGAAGAATTCTCAAATGTCAAAAAAGGCATTTTGAATTAGCAAAGAATAAGAAAAGAAATTATAGGTTAACATCTAGAAATTGTGTACTCAAAATTATACAAGCTTTACAAAAAATATTACACAACAATGAGAATATGTTCTACAGCTGTGACTTGCCTTGCAATGCAACTGAAACATAGGAAGAACAGTTTCATCACTCACTACCATTTTAGCATGCTTTCTGTTTAGAACAACCCACTGCCAGAAAAAGATAACCATGTAAGTTAAAAGCCTAAAATCACTCACAAGTCTGATTACAAAACTAAAAAGATTTACCTTTAAATAAGGATTTAAATCAATACCTGAGATCCCTTCCTCCAGTTTTGAACAGGAATTACAGGATGCATTTTTTTGTTGTACCGGCTTCCCTTATTATCAGCAAAACTGCAATCAGCATTAAACATAAGACTGTGAGATGAATCATTTGTGATTCAAGAATGACCGATTCATATATGGCGCGAAACCTAGTTAGCTTATACACATTTTCAAAGCGTTTAAGAAGCGTACCATATTTTTGAATAAGAAACATATTTAAACCAAAGTATAGGGCTAGTCTGCTTAAAAGCGGAAAAAACAGCTCATCCTAGTACGTTACAAAAAACGGAAAAAATGTTTACTCCTTGTTCTTTACAAAAAAACATAACCATGAAGTGTTCAATAGAAAAAAATGCATTTAAATGCATAGGAGATCAACAATAGTTTAAATGCAAAAAGAAAAACTTTCACCCCGTGAACGCGGGTGGTTTGTATTGTTACCAGTGTTGTCAATCCCAGATAGCGGAGCGGAGTGGGCAGCCCCCAAAATGCTATATCGGTATAGCGGATAGCGGGATGACCGCTATTTGGAGTACTTTCAAATATAATAGATAAGTAACTACTAGAAGCATATGTAATACATACATGTGAAAAAAGAACACTCTTTGCCTTACTGGAAGCATATGTTTTAACTACTGTAAGGTACATCTAAGGTCTGCAAAGAGACTACTGAAACTAGATGGTTCACCCACCTAAATTACTTAGAAATACTATTTAGTTTCATGAGTAAAATATAAGATGCTATTAATAATTTAAACATCTTAAGTCAAAACATTGAGTCAAAAGAAGACTGACTAGACTCCATACGACTTACGAGAAGAAGAAGAAAAATAGACTGCAGGTCTGCAGCAAAGGTTGGAGAAGAAGATGTTGCAGAGGAAGGTAATCAGATACTACTGAAGGCAGAGGAGGGCAGCATCTGTCATTCTTGGAGAAGAAGCAATCGCAGAGCAGCAGAAATAGATGATGGTTGTTCGGGGAGAAGAAGCCATCGCAGAGGTGCAACTGACTATTTTCAAAAGCTGGCTTCGTTTTGAGCTTTTAGTAGCGTTTAACGTAAGTGTAAGGGTTTTAACTAGGTTAATACGATAGTATTTTGTTTTAAAAGTCTAATTTACCCCTTCTTTGTCTGCGCCAAAAAATTTAACGCTAAAATCCCTCCCAGAAGGCTCATATTCTGTGCAATACTCTGTACCATAAGACGCGCCGCGTTAGCGGCCGCTATTTTCTCTCCCGCACCTGCGCTATAGCGGGCGCTATGGACGCAACACCCAAACGCCACGCTAGAGCCCTCCATGTAGCGCCTACCCTGTCTGCCGCACCGCTATTCCGCTATAGCGCGCTATTGCGCCGCTATTGACATCACTGATTGTTACAATACAAAATGTCCATTTCTTAAATAATACAAAATGTCCATTTCTTAAATAATACTACGGGTAACTAATAGGTTATAACGCTTTTTCAAAAATGCATCTCAAAATTAAGGTTTTCAAAACCTAATGATTTTCCAGTATAAAGTTCTACACAAACAATAATAAACTAAGCAGCCGCACAACTTTCTCGTACGTCATTCGTCTTTATGAAGATGATGAGTTTAATTTGGGTGTTATGTGAGGAAGATGATGATGTTAACTTCACCTTGTTCTAACGTTATTATGCGTTATTTTCTTGACATTATTTTTGCCAAATGATGTCTTGGACTTGATTACCATTTCTCTTTTTGCCATCGACTTATGCGATTACGAATTATTCTTTGATATAGTAATGGGACGTGCTATTTGAATGTATTTATAATTTGATATCTTTTTACTATATGTTATTTTGTGGTGTAGACAATTTAAATGTTCAAAACAAGGCCAATATTTTTGGTCCGGTTTTTGTAAAAGTTACTGCATTATACACATTTTTTTGCATTAAACACATATACATATTTACACGTTTTTTAAAAGTCAACGTTTTTTCATCGAATTTTTGGCCGCTTTTTTATTTCACATTACCGAATAAAACATGTACATATTGAACCTTGTTTAATTCTTGTACCGTACTTTTGTTTCATGTGTGACTTCAGCAGTGCTAAAGAAATGTAATTGTATATCCCCAAGTCAACAAACAAATCATGTCATACAATATGCATCATCTGCCTACCTGTCCACAAAACTCTTGGAGGTAGACATTATATAATTGTATGTGTAGCTGAAGTTGTACAATGGTATGCAGCTGAAATAAAATCAAGGCACTGAAACAAAATTAGATAACATCATAAGTTCATAACAATATATAACTATGAGTTATGAATTACACTAGATTGTACTTGTCAATTATCATATGCTATTTACTTGTTTAGGACTATGGTTTATAGTAGGGGCTCATTCCAGGGTTTGAGAGACATAAGACTTTTCATTTTTAATCAACTCAATTTATAGCTTTTATAATTTAGAAATGGACACTTATACCCCTAAAACATGTTTCCTAGATAGTTTGGAGTAAATGATGAAACCAGTTACTTCTGAGCTTTATAGTTCACTAAAAAATTAAAGATGTCTTATAAAACTGGATATTTTATTTTTCTGGACAAAAAAGCTCATGAAACATAACCCTTTGTGGGACACACAGGTACGAAAAACAAGTAGTAGAAACTGTTAACCTACAAACATGTGCATTAATAGTAGCAAAGTGGCAAAATCTCGTATCACCTGTCCGAAAGAAATACAAATCTTTCATTCAAGGGATCGACTAATGCACTTCGGAGCAGAAGACGCTCTGCCTGAATCATGCTTGCTTCTCCCCAATCTACCTGAAAGAAAAAACATTTGCTAAATATCACAAGGTTAACAACATGATTTGAGCATAAATGAAGTGCTTCATATAAGTTAAGACTGAAGCAAGTCGATCGATATAGGATAGCTATTACAAAAGCCTGATAGGATATGAAGTATGAACATAAGAGATATCCCTGTAATAACATAAAAATAATATGTAACTTTATTATTTTGTACATCAACTATTATAGGGAGAGCAATTAAAATTAGATAACTGCATTGTGGGAACGCTGGTCAAAGCTGGTAGCGGAAGGCTTAGTGGGGCGGAGGACAAGGCGCTGGCAGTTACACGAAAGCCTGCTTTTCCGCCAGACCCGTCGGACTCGACGAAACGGCCGGACGGATTGGCTCAACTTGGTTATTTAAAATAATAATGCGGATTCATGATGTAAGACACACAGTTTACTGTTGACTTACTCACTGTAATGCATCTTAATTTTCGAAGTATTCAATATTCAATCATCTTTTCTTTGATTCTTCATTTGTTCTTTGATCTTTGCATGAAAACCAATTTATTTGTCGCTTCCGAGTGTTCAAATCATATTTGACGTAGTTTAGCATAAACAATCTCATTCAGTGGGTTCTTTAGAAACAAAACCTGTATGCTGTCATTAACTTGGCGGTCCCAGAAATACACCGATCTTGTTGTCACTTTAGTAAATAGAAAGCCAGGTCTGGAATGAACGTGTATAGAAAATTTATTCTCCGCATCTCCCTGGAAGTTACATAAGTGAAAATGTACCCAACTCAGATGACTTAGCATAACCATTCATAAGTTGCTAAAAGACAAGGAAATATAGGTTTCAATATTTGGCTGGAATAGATATTACCATACACTCTTTAAAAAAAATCAGACAGCCAGACAATTCAAAAATTCCAGCTAAATGATCCTAACCAAATGGGCCCAACATAATTCATCAATCCCTACTATTTTACTATGCGTGTAAGGTTTACATCCACCACATAGTTGAATCGTGAGGAACATCACCATTTACTATATTCCACCCATGAACATCAACATGATTCACCAATCCCTAACCATTTACTACATCCCACCCAAAAAAACTTTCCTTTTTTGGATTGTCACAAAATAAACTTATCATTATTAAGAAAGAACTGTAGGTGGTTAATATTTTTTCTTTCATTTCTCTAGTAAAGAAATTCTATTTTCTCAATTTGCATTTTAAAATCAAAAGAGAAGTTTATATTGAGAAAGAGAGAGTAACTTGGAGCAACAAGCACGCCATTTGCCCAAAAGTCAAAACAAATTTTTAGTAATATGTAACGTGATTGTGATTCGTGAGTTAATGTAATCAATCAAAATGGAAATAGGTCGTCAGCTACTAAATTGAGACTAAAATGTGCTAAGCAGGAAGAAACGGGAAACATTGCACAGTACATATGATGAATCTGCGAGTGAATCGATGTTCATACCTGGAAGAATGCGTCCCAGACAATGTCAAGAGGTAGCCGATTCCGAGCTATGAACAAAAACGCAACTTTGGGCTTCTGAACAACCGGACGAGATAGAAAGGCAAGCGTTTTGATACGACTGTACTGCGTCTCCATAAGGGCGAAAGTTCCGATGCAAAGTCCGAGCAAAAACAGCGGCAATAAGAACAGCTTTCTCTTCCATCTCCTCTGCAATTTCTGGGAGCTAGACCTTCGCAGCAAATTCTGCTTCATAGCTGCGACTCCCCAAAATCATTCAACCATCTCGAGTCAACTCAGCAACTAAACTCAAAACTCCCGCGCCTCAGGCAATAATTATTGAGTGGATATCTAGGCGTTCAGCCATCAAATTGCATGTGAACTGGTGACAGGACAGGAGATCCACTGGAAGTTGTATGCAACTTTAACTGTAGCGTAGGGAGTAATAATGAATTCTGAATACGGCTCCTTTCTTGAGGTGCAGTTGATGAGCAAGATTCTATTCTAGTTAAGGAGAAAGCTTGTTTGGTGAGTAATCAATCTGTCAAGTATGGCTGTTTTTGACCAACTTTAATGCTCTTGGAGTGTGTTTTTGAGAACAGACATTGAATTTTGGAGTTACCTTGTAGTGACAAAATTGCTTATAAAACTAAAAGGTGTGATCAATAAGGGTCCGTTTGGTTGGGGTGATAAGGCCGGAATGTGATGCACGGAATGTTAGATACCCTAGTTTGGTTAACGAGTTTGAAAAAAATCGGGAAAGTTACATTCCCGGGAATGTAATATGGATGAGAATCTAAAACCCGTCCATCCCTTAGGTTATCTCACATTCCCGGGGTGATCTAATTTTCTTCCGAAAATACTCTCAATTAATGATCTCTTTTCATTTAATTTCTTAATATATTCAACTGTTGTCACATTTTATTTTTTGTGACTTTATAAAACTTTTAATGTAGTATCTAAATATGTAAATTTTATTTCCTAAAAATAATCTTATTATTGACAGAGATCGGTTAGTTTAATTTCATGATCTGTCGAACATAATTTTTTTCCTTAATATTTAAATATTTTAAGGTATTTATGTTATAAGAGTTATAGATTATTTAAGTTTTGATGAGTGGATTTCAAATATAATAGCAAAGTTGGTCATTTTTTCTTTATTTTGAAAACAAGTTTTACGATTAACTTGATCATTTTTTAAATATTACTCCCTCCGTCCCTAAATTTACTTCCAACTTTCTCTTTTCGTCCGTCCCAAAAAGAACTTCACTTTCCCTTTTTGGCAAAGAATTTGTGGTTCATAGCATTTCTCTCTCCTCTGCACAACTCTCCACCACACAATTCTCACTTTCTTAATCACCGTGTCACTTTAATTTGGAAGAACAATCAGGGACGGAGGTAGTAAGTTTTTTGAGATGATAATAAATATATTTATATTACTATTTGAACAAAGTTTTTTTTCCATTTCTGTATTGGATCTACAACTTTTTACAATTAAACATATTTTACTTAAAAATAATTCAATTAGGTTTGATTTTATTTAATATTAAGATATTTCATTTTTCTTTAATTTTAATTACTTTAGATATATGTTGCGTTAAGAGAAAATATTTAAAGGGCATAAAAGTAATTCATCAATCTAACATATCCAGCAATCTGACATTCTCTTACCAAACATAAGTGGGAATAAATTGAATACATCCCCATCAATCTAACATACCCAGCAATTTGACATTTCCATGGTAATCTGACATTCTTTGAACCAAACATACCCTAAGAGAAATGTAATTTTTTTTAAAACTAACTTTTTTAATCTGAATGGGAGTAATTACTTATATATATATATATATATATATATATATATATATATATGTATATGTATATGTATATATATATATGAGTACTCTTCCGGTCAGGAATTCCTGACCGGAACTGCCGTCCGGTCACTAATTAGTTTACCAAGTCAGCATTTTTAACGGGCTAATACAAGTTCGTACTGAATTAACACTGATTTTCCGACTTTATGTACATTTGAATCACATTTACATTATTGTGCATTCTTTAGCTAGGGCGTTGCTAGACGCACCGTTGTTTTTACTTAATGTAACTCTAATAAAAGACTCATTTGTCCTTTCTTTCATTGAAATTAAAATTAGTGCAAGTTGATACGTGAGTATGAGTTCGGCCAATATAGTATCCATTCTAATCAATTTTAAAATTTATTCTCCATAAAATAGTTTTCATCCATGTGGCAAATACGGAGTAATTAATACAGTACTACGTATTATTTCGGTAAAACATTATAACTTTTTTATTTGTGTTCCGTTTTTTTCCAAAAAATATTTCAAATTAAATAATACGTAATTCTTTATGATCTTTCATATGATACCAATATACATATATAAAAATTTTAAAAATAAAACTATTTTGATTAGGTAAGTTTAAGTCGAATTAATGGACAATGAATGAGTATTTCAATATTGTTTAAGTTTGATGAAATTTGGCCTGATCTGATTTAATTACTCTAATTTGACCTGATTTGATTTGTTTAAATGTGGTTTGATCTAAGATCAAAAAATCCGTGCAATTAAAAACATTCTAGATGTCATTTACAGTTTCACATGTATGTCCATAAATATAAATATCTGACTTTAATTTGGATCAACATGAAAATTTGCAATTTTTATCTCGTAACTTATGACCGTATTCATTATTAATCGACTATTGTGTTAGAGACACTTTTTGTACCTGTCTTCAAAAAATTTTCTATTTAGTTCTTTGACTTTCATAAAAGTGTCATTTTTGTCCTTCAGCTATTATATTAGTGACATTTTTTAATCCTCCAATTATTGTGTCAAAATCATAGTTGAAGGACTAAAAGTACCAATTTGATAATACTCTAGGGATTAGATGATGGCAACTTTTAAGTCGAGGACTAAAAGTGTCTCGAGTACAAAAGTGTAATTGACACAATAGTCGGGGACCATTCAATTAAGAATTAAGACTAATAAATAATTTCTAAGTGTGAAAGTTAATCGTTCTATTTTTTCAAATAATCTATAAATTCATCCTTCAATATATATGTAATGATTGTAAAATTTTGTGAGGCCCTTAGGATGTTTTTACTTGGACTGTAATTTGCTGGTCTGGTCTGGTCTGATCTGGTCTGGTCTGGTCTGGTCTGGTCTGGTCTGGTCTGGTCTGAACTGGTCTGGTCTGGTCTGGTAAGGTCTGGTTTCTTTGTATTTTTATAACTATCCAAGTCTGGTCTGGTCTGGTCTGGTCTGAACTGGTCTGGTCTGGTCTGGTATGTCCCACGCACGCTTGGAACATCAGAAGTGGGGGACTTGTGTTGGGTAAATGGCCCAAACAGGGGTTCGGCCCAATCACCCCCAAACCGATGTACGTCGCCTAGCCCACGGGTGACCTTAGCCCAGAGGAGATGGGACGAACGTCGGTTTCCCGGATAGCCGCACAAGGTCCCTACCGAGGGTCAGTTAGCATATTCCCGACGAACGTCGTCAGCACAAGGTCTCTGTAAATGGCCCAAATCCAGAAGATCGTTTCACTCTATCAAGGGCCGCAGACGAGCGGCCCCCAGCCTTCCACCGCCTGCTGAGAGTTGCCCTCAGTTCTACCAGACGATCATGGTCAGAGATTAGGCGGGGAACCCAGATTCTGGCGGGAAGCGCATTTAATGCTGGAGATTTGGTGGTTGGACCACAGCCACTAACAATCCTCCACGTCATCAGGACTAACTGCCCATTGGCGGGTATAAATAGTAGCATTTATTTCATTGTAAAGGGTTGGCAACTTTCTATTCTCAGCACTCTAGCTATAGCATTCTTACTCGCAGCACCTCTACTGCCTTGTAAGACGAACGGCCGACGTGCCCTATTTTAGCAAGTAGATTGTATTTAGGGGAGTTATTACGAAGTTAATAATACCTATTTACATTGCCTGCTATTCCGACTGTTTCCTGATCCATCTGATAGTTGTGGGGCTAGATATTCACATACTCATACACTCACTCCACTCGAAATCTTCGGGCTTACGTGTTGGGCCTGAGGGTTGAAGGAATAAACCTCAACACTGGCGCCGTCTGTGGGAAACTGAACTAAAAGTTTCAAAACTCTCCCTGCTAGAACAGCAACAACCTGCCTCTCAACAAAACACGATGTCAGGGAGCAACAACCAGCGTGACCTCTCCGAGCGTCTGGAGTCAAGCCGCCGGAATCGCGGCCAGAACTCGGAACTATCCGCGACGATATGGACCTCCGGGGGGAAACGGGGGTATCACTGACCTCATTCCCCTCGAGGCCAGGCAGGATCCCCGCCTCATGCGGGAACTTGCTGACACCATGCGCCGCCTGGCAGACGAACGGGAAGCTCAGGAGCAGGTGTACTCTGCAAGCACCCAGCGAACACCGCTCTCTCCCATCCGCCGTATGCAGTCGTACGATGATACGACAGGGTCCAGCGACCACCGGCCCTCAGTCCATGAGCGGCTAGGTGGAGGTTCAGGCTCCCATGGAATGGGAGGGCGAACCAATGTCAGCACTGCTGCTTTCGGGGCGCACACGCCATCAGTTCCCCGCCAAGTCTCGCGTGGGGACGAAACCCCGAGGATCAACGCCGTTGGACGACGTTTTCAGCGGCGCGGGGCACAGATCCTCAGGCGGCCGCACGGTGCTGTGGCTGCCCAGCAAAACGCTGTCCTCGAGGCCGTGCCCCCTGTGTCCCCCGGAAGGGCCGCACAGGATGTAAGGCTGGAAGCAATGGAGCGGCAGATAGCCGAGATGAACAGGCGGACGGACGCCGGCTCGGCCACGCCCTCTTTCTCTCTCACGTCACCCTTCACCCCCCGGGTGATGAGCGTCGAGATTCCCCGGGACTGCAGACCCCCGGGCAACTTGGTGTACAATGGAGCCGGTGATCCCAAGGCCCATTTGATTAGCTACCAAGGGAATCTATCCATGCTGGGAGCGTCGGACGAGGCCATCTGCAGATTGTTCTTCAGCACCCTCAGGGGGCCGGCGCAAGAGTGGTTCGGTCAGCTGAGGCCAGGCACCGTCGACTCATATGAACAGCTTTCCCGGCAGTTCATGGCCCAATTCGCTGCCAGCACCACCCCCAGGAAGGACGTCACGGCTCTCGCCCACATCAAACAAGGGCGGGACGAACCGCTGGCTAGGTTCCTGGTAAGGTGGAGGGACGAGGTCCTGCAGGTCGACGATCTTGACGAACGTCTGGCCACGAACATGTTCACCAGCGCCCTGGCCACTGGAGATCTGTACCGGGACCTAAGGAGGAACCCCGGCACCAGCTACGCCGAGGTTCTGGCTCGGGCCCAGAAGTACGCTTCCATCGAAGAGGAGATCAGGCAGCGGGACGGAGTTCCCGCGGCCCTCCCCCCCAAACAAAAAGAAGAAGGCGGACGGGGCGATGGTCCCTTGGAAGGCTCCGTCCGGAGATATTCAGACGCGGTCGGACGACCGCTACGTCCCCTTGGCCTATCCAGTGAGCCAGATTTTTGAGGCCATCAAGGACAAGGGCCTCCTGATGGAACCCCAAGATATGAAGAAGCATATGGGGCTTGACCAATCGGCTTACTGTGAATACC